TGTAAAACCCACAGGCAGCCCAAGATCATACAGGAATGATGGAAACTCAGAGGACCCAGGGGAGACACAGGTGCACAGAGAAACGGAGAGAAGGACCTGGGAGGAGAGAAGGAGAGAGGGAGACACAGGGAAAAGTAGCCACAGAGACAGGCAAGCAGAGCCAGAGAGAAGTAAGTAGCCAGCAGCGAGATGCAGAGTCATGATGCTGACAGACAAGGGATAGAGAGACGCCCGGGAGGGACTCCACGATGTAACAGGGAGCAGGAACACAGCTGTAAGAACAGACCGGTTGACTGCATTCAGGATCCCCAGCCCCACTGCCTCGCACAACTCCATCCTCAACTCCAATGGCTCCCAAGCCCCCAAGTCCCCGCCCAGTCTCACATTCTGAATGAAACTGAGCAAAGGCTGGAAAAGGAGATGCAGGCAGGAATGGAGCTCCTCAGCAGATCTTTCAAAGGGGTGGTGGGGAGAGCTGCTGTTTGAGAGGCAGGGCTGTCCCTGCCTGCCCACAAGCTATGGTTTGAGTGCTTGGCTTTTTAATGGCAGATCCCTCCATTTTGGCCTTTCAGTCTCTGTGTCTTCTCTGTCTTGGGGTCTCACCAGGGTCTCAGTTTGCCTCCCCATCACCTCTGCCTTCTGTATCCCAAGCGTCTCTGGGCCCTGCTGGCTCGGTCTGCGCTGCTTCTGTCTCCAGCTCTCACTGCTGCCCTCCAGCTCCGATACTATGTGTTTCTGCCATGATCTCTCCCTCTGTCTTTGTCTCTTTGTGCTTCTGGCTTCCTGTGTGTGTCTCCCTCTAACCTCCTCTCCACATGCCTTAACTTGCTCTTCTCTTCCCTCAAAAGGCAAATTTTGAAGGACCCCTGGTCTGCAATGGAGTCCTGCAGGGCCTTAGGTTCTGGGGACGCCGTCCCTGTGGTCAGCATAGAGCTCCAGGCCTCTACACCAACCTCTGCAAATTCAACCAGTGGATAAATACAACAATCAGTACCTCGTAGCCATGGATGATGCTGGCACCAAGAATCCAGCACCACCTCCCAAACCTATCCTTAGGCTCCCTGTGTCATAAACAGCTACTGGACTTCATTAAATCTTCTTTACCAACATCTTGAGATGAAACTTGCCTTTCTTGTTTGGTTTTATTAAGACTAAAAGTGGAGTTTTCAATTGTCAAAAGGTGTTACTGATTTTAAGATGTTGTGACATCCTTGTGTTCCTGGGACATCTGCTACATGGTAGGGATACCAATATACATACCCCTAATTATCATGGTGAACAGTTTCCCAGGGACAAGTTCTGTGGTTACCAAACAACAGAATCCACCTGCCTGGCTGTGGGAAATGGAGCGGGGGCATCATGGTGGCTGTGCGCTCAGTAAGGAAGATAATACATTTGGAGATTCTCACGCAAATAATGTCAATATGATCCTTTCTACTCCCTTTTCTCCCCAGGACACTACAGAGCAGGATGAGCTGTGTGACAGGTGCTCATTCCTGGGCCTGTGGGGACAAAGATGTGAGATAAAAAGTTCAACAGCAGGGTGGAAGGGGAGGCAGCAGGAACATTCTAGCCACTTTTG